GCTGATTAACCGAGACAATATTATCAAGAACGTTACCCATTCTCTCAGCTAATATTTTATTAATTAACTTATTCAAGCTTCCCAGGAGACTTATAGGTCTGAGATCCTTAATTTCTTCTACCGCATCCTTCTTTGGCAGCAAACACAGAAATGAATGAGTAGCGCCCTTGTGCAAATAACCGTTCCAATGGAACTCCTTGAACGCTTCAAGGACTTCCAGTCTGATCAAAGGCCAACACTTTTTGTAGAAAGCCATCGAAAAACCATCGGGACCTGGCGCCTTCGCCCCGTCGCAATCAATGATGGCTGCCCAAATCTCTTGTTCCGAGAACTGCTGCACCAACCTGCCCTTATCATCATCACTGATGGACCAACCCACATACCTGCCCGGAAATGGCCTTCTCCGCATAGATTCCTTGAATAACCTTTGATAGTAGCCAACAATACCATCAGCGAGCTGCTCTTTGCCTTCAGTCCTTACGCCATTAATCTTAATGCACTCGATCAAATTCATCTTCCTTCTATAATTCGCAACTTTGTGAAAGAACCGAGTATTATTATCCCCACATTTGTTCCAAAGCTCCTTAGATTTCTGCCTCCAAGCAATTTCTTGAAGATATAGAAGTCTGCTAAGCTCAACCTTGCAACTCTGCATATCGACTTCATCTCTGCCTTCGAGAAAGAGAGATTCCTCCTTCTCCTCAAACGATTTAATCTTGCATAAGAGAACCTCGATTTGGGATTCAATATTACCAAACACACTTTTGTTCCACTCTTTCAGTTTGAGTTTCAGCAGTTGCAGTCTTCTTCCCCAAAGAAACACAGCCCCGCGCCCTTCGACTGGTAATTGCATCCACTCTTGAAGACCCTGAAAGAAGCGTTCATCCTCCAGCCACATGTTCTCAAATCTCCACGGTCTCTTAATCCTTGAGCAACTTCCCCACTTAATAAGCAACGGGCAATGATCCGATTCCACCCGTTCAAGAGCAGAAAGGGTGCAATCCGGAAAAAGATTATCGAAATCAGAAGAGATGAAAGCTCTATCAATGCGAGATAGGGAGCGCGAGCCTTCCCCTCTACTCCAAGTAAATCTGCTTCCCCCAAGAGGTAACTCAAGCAAAGCATTACTGTCTATACATTCGTTGAACGCCTCCATCATCCTGTCACATCTTCTCGCCCCAATATAATCTTCGTGGCTCCTAACAAGGTTGAAGTCCCCAACTAAGCAGAGTGGGCTAGCACAGGATTGGCACAGCTCATGAATCTCAGCAAGGAAAGCAATTTTCTCTTCTCTTCCTTGAGGACCATAAATCACAGCAATAGACCACACTTTCTTATCTACAATTTCCTCGAATTCAACCCATACTAAGTGGTTTCCAACGCGGTAATTAGTGGCGCGGGCAAAGTCCTTTCTCCAGAAAACAACAATTCCTCCAGCGCTATCCAACGCGTCTTTAGCGACCCAACCAATATCCCTACTACCACTAACATCAGCTACAAGCTCATCGCTGCAACTATTCCACTTAGTCTCCACCATCCCCACGATCTTAGGCTTTCTTATGTTAACAAGACGTTTAATTCTGCCCCTCTTGGCCTGATCCCCGATACCTCTAACATTCCACACAAATGCTGACTTATCCATCAATATCAACGCCGAGATTACCTCCCACATCCCTTATCTTGCGCCTCCGCGACCCGACCGCCGCAGGAGGAAGAGGCCCTAATCGGAATTGCTCCATTTCAAGTTTGGTTCGGACAGGGCGCAGCTTACGCTTGTGCATCTCCTTGGCTTTGCTGCTTAGGACCTCATCCACCATAGCCTGTCCCTCCGCTTGTTCGAGGTTGAACAGCCTTCCCAGCGAGACGCAGGTACTCTCCAAAGTAGTGACATCGAACGGGAATACGTCCATATTCCACTCCCTCGCTTGACTATCCGGAACGCAAGAAGGTGACGGAAGTTCACGCTCCACCCAAGAGGAATTCGCTGAAGGAGATAGAAAAATCAGATCGGAATTCTCCACCTGTGAGGGAGAAGAAGAAAATTGAGAATCTCTTTGACTCAATTTGGACGCTTGACTATCTGGGGTAGAGGGAACTGCACACTCGATCTCCTCTGGTAATTCTTGAATTTGCACAGTACATCTATGAGAGTTCTCAGAGTCGGGGGGAGAACTATGGATACCAGAAGCCAAGCTATTATTCATCAGGCAGCCGAGCCGAAAATCAACCCAGTACCCATGACACCAGATGCCGGTCAGGTTTGCCAACGGATTTGGGCTTGGTCCAATGCATGGTTTTGGGTTTAAAAACCTTAACAGAAGTTGTAAGCACCAGGCTGGGACTTCTATTTCGAAATTGCGGAATGGGTCGCAAGACCTGATGGGCCTGATCGATACCGCTGGCTCACAGCTCGCCCCATCACCCCCCATGGGCTTTAGCTCATTACTCCCAACTATCTTTGACCCCTTCCAAATAGGCCCATACTTTCTAACCCAAACTTTTTTATATACGATCCTTCTAGCGGGACAGCTGGGCTGCAGAGCTTTTCCGGTGACCGAAGCGTCGGGATTTATGGGTTCCATATCGCCCTCGTGCATGGGGGCGCGAAAAGGAGTCGCGTGCGCCGTCTCTTTTCTTGATCTCCTCCCCACCGCCTGAGGATCGCCGTGGGAGCCATCTGCCATCGAAACCATTCTGACCACGTATCTCTCGTCACCTAAAACCAGCGGTATCTCGTCGGGAATCCTCCCTTCTACTATCACCCTGAACCTTACAAACTCCGACGACCAATGATTCCAATCGATTTCCACCAGAGCACCACAAAAATTCCCAATACACTTGATCAAATCGATACTTTTCAGATGAAGAGGGATTCCGAATGCCTGAACCCATTGAGCTTTCGACGTTCTCTTCATCTCGACCCCTTCCTTCCAGTGGGATATAATCAAGACGAACGATTTATACCTACACTGGTTAAATCTTCTTATACGCAAAGAATGATGCAGACTAGGACAGATAATCAGCCATGACCCATTGTCGAGATTCTCGAACCCGTAATTGTCGTCAACAGCCCAGTTTGTTCTAGCCCAAGACCAGAAGGTATTTGCATCGTCGGCAGTGAAAAGTTCACCCTTTGTCGATTGAAAATTGACCACCAAACTTCTCCCAAGCAGCTCTCTCCTTTCCCTGACACCATCCCTGCTCACCACAATAACTCTCCGGTTGTCGACCACTTTCACCTTACACCTACCTGCTCCATACAAGCCTCCTCCCTTAACCACTTCAGAATACGATCTAGAGTACATGTCGGGAGGTGCCCCGCTCGGCGAGATGCAGTTTACGCACGCTGCCTCTATGACCCCGCGTTCAGCCTTGAAAAAATCCTGGAGAAGAACAGTAAGCTTTGCCCAACCGCCACTTAATGCCTGAGAGGGAATCAAGATCTTGAAGGTCCTTCCGCTCTTCACCATCTCAGATATTTGAAGATGCGGGTGCTGCTTAATGGTGGTTTTACCAACATGAATCGCCCGGTTAGCATGTTTCAAAACACACCCCTTGGGGAAGCGCCACGACCGCATCGCCGCTGTTTGAAGAACACCTTGTAACCATGAGATGTGAGATTCATTCAATATGATGTACCACCGTTTGTGACCCTCCCAAGCATCCACTCTGTACCAAAAAAACCCCCCAGATACCACTTTCGTGATGGAGACAGCCTTTGTTCCGAACCGAGACTCAAGCCTACACACTTCCTTCAGAGAGCCGCCTTCTCCTGGAACGCTGTTCGCCTGGACCCTGCGCAAAAAATCAGAAGAAGAGAAATCGTTGATAAGATAGTCCCGACCCCTGACGCTCACCCTCTCCGGAACCCTCCTGTGACGCCGTGCCTTTTCGTATGCACCAGCGACCGGACACACTTTCGCACTCTCACTTTCTCTCTCTAACATTTTTTTTTTTTTATTGCTTGACCTTTCAGGAGCAATCTGATAAAGGGACAGAGAACACAAATTAGGTAAAGACCATTCCAAAATTAACTCAAAAGGGAGGAATGCGTGAACGTCAAATATCACAGTTGATTGCCACCTAGGATAAACTTAATGAAGTTGGACGGAGAGTGTCCACCCATGAGATGAAATTGTAAGTGAGTGACTATTAAGAAAGAAAGAAAAATAGTGTCAAAACATGAAAACAAAATATTAAATTTGAAAAACAAAAGTGTAATTTAGCCTAATAATAGTTGATTAATTATTCCATTGGCAGATTCAAAATTATCAAATACAAGCAAGTATACATCAGTTAGGACCCAGCTCCTACAGTGACTTGCTTACACTGGCAACATCAGATAAAAAAAAATCATGAAGCAGTTGCGATCGGAACATAACTCTGTTTAGAAGGCACATTAACCAGGAAAGGACATATTATGATGCCCTTCGTTTGAAAGCAAAGGCAGTGTCATCTACAGAGTAGAGTACACCTCAAGATCTTACATGCGGTCTTAATCCCAAACAAACCAAGTGATTAGGGTGATAGTCGGTTATCAGTTGAACCAATTAACAGCTAAACGCACCGAAATAACCGAGTCATCAACACCTCTAACTAAGTACATCTTATTATATCTATACATTACTCACCAAACATGAGCCGGATATAATACTCATCATTCAGTCACGAATGAGGCAGCCTACTGCAGCCAACCAGCTTTGCATAGCAGAATAAAGAACTGTTTGATTTCGGAATAACTACTCAGCCTAATCAATATAACCAGTTCTTTTGGACTTCCACTAGTAATACTACCACACAACAAGCAACTAGGCAATATATAGTAGTTTGGAACATAATTCATTGAGAAGGCGCCTGTTAACAAGAAATTCATACCCTTTTTATGGGACCCTTCCTTCCAAAGCATAGGGTACAAAACCAGCAGCTATAAGCTCCTTGGTGTAGGCGGCATCAACGCAGAATAAAGCACAGATGAAGATGATAATAAAACAATGAGACACCATCAATAGTTAACTAACAGTCGAGACGTTAATTGAGAATTCAAAAAGGACAGAGTGCAAATGCTGTCTGCACCAGATTGGCTAGGAACAATCTGATAAAAGGATAAGCAACCAAGTACCGATCAGATCAAACTATTCCTCAATGAACTCCATAAAAAGGGAAGAAAACTCGAACCCGCTTTGTACAATAATGATCACAAACTAGGACAAAGTGGTCAGCTACTTAATAACTGATTTTCCTCATAAAAAGCTCAATTACCGGTTTTGCACAGGAGGATCCTTTAAAAAAGTAGTTGGCCACTTTGTAATGTATGCTGGTTGACGGCAGCTTCAGTAACTTCAATCTCGTGAAGGGAGAGGGTTGTTGTTCCAGAAACGCATCCAAATCACTTAGAACCTAAGCACAACAGAAACCAATCTAAGAATGCAAGGTAATATATCAAAATTAGGTAAGACCCATATTGACAAACAGAAGTGTACCTTAAGTAGAATTGAGTGCAGCGTCAGAGATTCTACATTATGTAAACCTCTGAACAATGAGACTAAACGTTCCTTCACACACTCATGGCCATGTACCGAAATATGGGGATAGACCGAAATATCAGCATGATCAAGGGAAGGAGCACTTAACACCAAGGATATGAATGTTTCACCATCATCGTCTTCCCTAAAACGGAACGACTTGAGTTTTGGGGCACAAACTTCAATCTTGCAGAAATCCGCACTTTCGAGCACCAGACTAAGCAATTGGAGCCCCGAAACCTTGAAACGCATTTCACTCAAATGCTGAGGCAGCCTATTAAAGCTCTCTATCACTGCCAAATCCTGGAGACAGGGTAAGTTCGAGAATGGATCAAGGTCCTCCTCGTGGTGGAAAAAGAGGGAGCACCCACCCAGTTTCAACGTAGACAGAGTCCGAAAGCCAAAAGATAGAAATCGAATGTCGGTGGCGATATTATCTAGTTCAAGAGTTTTGAGATTGCAATTCAAGGTGGTGCTGAACAAATTGGGGGATTCGTAGTACTCATCGTAATGCAACCTGTGGTTCAGGTTAATTGATAAATGCTGTGTATCATGGCGCAAGGCATACTCGATCGCCCTGACAAACTGAGCATAGTCTCGTTTCTTCATAGGAATAAGAAAAGACAGAGACATATCCTTTTCTGATAAGTAGCTTAGCTTGTGGAGATTAACGGGATAGCGGAGCGACAAAACCTTGTCTACATACAGTTGGAACCTTGAATATCGTTTGAAGGATTCACTGCGCAGGTCGAGGACAGGGACATGTTTCCAAGCGCATCGCCATACTCGGGACAAGACAGAGGTCTGAACGGCCGATTTGGTGTCGAGAAAAGAAAGGATGTGGTGAATTATGAAGTCTGGAAGACGGCTTAACCTGTCCTTAGGAGTAGTATCTTGATCTTCTTCTTCTTCCCCGCGGCGCCTTTTTCTGGCTTTCCCCAGCTCGCAGCAAGAGCAGTGGTTTTTCATTGCCTTCATCTTGGAGGCAAACAAGAGCGAATTTCACTTGTGGTAAAACTTAGACGACGAAGTAGAAGTTCAGGGGGAAAAGAATCAGAGGCTCAGAGTTGCATTTCCCCCAAATTTTCTGATCTAGGGTTTCGCTAGGATGCAAGAACAAAGAAGAGACCAAGTTCACAGAGGCAGTAGGATACGAAATGGCTTTTCTGGTGCAATTTTGAAATTGTAAAATACAAGGCAAATACAGTTTCATAACCATAATTATTCGCGTTGTGACAATAATAATCATTTTTTAAAAGATATACTAAAATAGTTATTCCGTCCAAAACTTAAACAGAATTATAAAGAACGCTGACTGTACTAGCGATTTTTACTGACATGGCAACTTTTTTTTTTGTCAAAAACCATGTCAGGTGGAATATAATTACATGAACCAAAAAGAAAAAACTCATCCATTTCTCACGTCTTTCACCCACAAAAAACAAAAAAAAATCTCCAAATATGAAATCCTCCCTCGTCCGTCGTCTTCCTATCCTTCTCCTCTCTTTCAATCGACCAAGACCGACCCAAACCCAGATCCTTCTCTCTTTCGTGGAAGCGGGGGAGGATAACAATTTTGTGAGGAAGATGACGACAGCGCTAGCAGCAGCGCCAACCTTGCTTCTTTACGTATATTAAACGGAGTATTTAATAACTATATTTGTAAGCACGTGAATTACTGTATCATGATGAGCATTTGCTTACTTATTAATTAATATAGTTTGACGAGGATATGTATATTGGAGTGATTTGACACAAATTAATGAAATCCAGATATTTTTTACGTGGTATTTGGATTTTTTTTTTTTTTGGTTAAGAGATCTAGATTTTATAAGGAAAAAAACCCAAACATTTGGGACGAAGTTCACTATTGCCGTTCGCTTCTTGTTCTTTAACCGCAACTACCATCTCTTCATTTCCCTCAACCGATTTTGGATTCAAGAACATGAGTACAAAAAACGTGATTCAGAAACCCAAAATTATCTATGCAATAAAAATAGCCAACACAATTACGAGGAAAAAATAGTCATCTCTTCAGCCTCTAAAATTGTGCTCCTCGCCTAATTCCCAACTTGTATATATACTAGTAAGGAAGCCCGCGCTTCGCGGCGGGATGATCAGGATGTTCCATTCGACAATGTTAGGGAAAATATGCAGTCGGTGCAGAAATGCACTGCATACGGGAATAAATAAGTTGAGTGCAATATTAATAAGCATTCTCTAGTGCATTGTTCAAGAGCTAACGGAAACGGAAGACATAAATGTACCTGAAATCGCAGAAGTATTTGTTCTTCTAAGTCAAATTATAACCACTACACCGCAATAAGCATTAGACGTGAACACATGACGTACTAACGCTGTTTATGTGACTCTAGTAAGGAAAAGCACGCGCTACGCGACGGGCGCAATAGGTACGGGATCATATTAGTTAGCTAGTTAGCTTCTGCTAAATAACCGGCAACACACAAAAGAGAGGTAAAATGAACCTTTGGATCGCTACCCAAGTTAACCATAGCTTGGCCTCTCTTATCTATATACCTCCTAGCGTCGGGAGGTGTGTGTTGTAACACACACTGTAAAACATATTAATTATAACCTAATAACACTAAATGTATAATTACTTATAATTTAAACATGTAAAACATATTAATTATAACCTAATAACACTAAATGTATAATTACTTATAATTTAAACATTTGAATTAATACTACGCATACATAGTGCACTGGAAATAACATTTAGAGGATCTTACCCAACCAAATCGTAACCCATTGTTTGGACTGAATTGCAGCACCTGAAGTAAATACCTTATTATTTGGCCGACTACAATTTCGGCTAGTGGACAGTATCTCGGGATTTATGAGTTAGAATGATGCGAAAAACATCCTAATTGACATAATATATTGATATTCAATTAAGATAGCTATCGTCAACAACTCCCTTGACAATCACCTTTTACACGGCTCAAACAACACTGGATACAGCAATATATAGAAACCAAGAATTCTAAAAAGAAAGTGAAAATGGATGAGCGGGGATCAGGCATAGATTGAACTTCAGCTGGTGATAATTAAACTACCTAGAAAGCAATTACAGAATTTAGTCAGAAATCCATCCCAAAAAATCAGTCAAATGAACCTATCAAAAATCATATGTATGGCATCCATAGACATAAATGGATAGTAGAGGGTAAGTTCCATGTATTAGGGATAAATCTTTATTCATATTGACGTAAGTTTCCTTGTCCTACATGAACCTGTACAATTGTGGGTATAAATGCCCCTTCTCAGTGTCAATACAAACACACGATTCACATTCTTACAGCTTTAATCCCGAAACCCTAGCTCTTCGTTGCAATCTAGAATTTCGGCGCCCACGATCAGCGTCGAGTCGCCTGCTGTCCAACATGTCCGACAACAGCTCGGTCACGTCAATACAAACACACAATTCATATTCCTTACACCATGGAGCCAACAGCTGGGCGCAAAAACAGCCTATTGAAACACTATAGCAATTCAACTTACAGAATCAGTAGGAGTAACTATCATGAACCTGTGTTTATATATAAGGCAACATCTTACTAATCAAAAAGAAATTGATTAAAGGTTAAAGAAGAATTTATGAACTACACGACACAGGAAGTTCGATTTCTTCATCCCATGGCAACATATGTTCATCGATTGAAAGAAACTGTGGATTGAGGAGAAATTGACATGAAAGACGGCTGCTTTAGTTTAATGAACTTTATTTTTATCCTCCTCTGTGATTCCATAATACCAATAAAACTTCTATTTCTATTCAATTACAGAATGCTAAGAAATTGAGTCCATTTCAGCCTAGAAATCTCACCAATTTAAATGTTGCAGAATAAAATGCTTACAGTTCAGCCTATAAGTCCTCAAATGCATACCTGCAAACCCAGGCATAAAAGCAAGCAATCTGATTTGTAATAAAGCTCTGACCTGACATTGTAAGCAAGCAAAGAGTTTTAGATATAAAGAGCCACGAATAGATGTAAACCTGGAGTTCATCAGTGTTCACTAAGCAGCTTAAGAAAGCATAATCAACCTCACCGAACCTCAAACAGAATGAAAATGGCAGTGCACTGTATGGGGCGAGCAAATAAAACAAAAAAAATAACATATAAAAGATTTTTAATGGGAAATAGCAATTATTATGAACGTGTAAACTTAGAGTTAATGAGAATAGTGCCAAGTCTAGCCATGGCATCCTGATAAGCTGATTTTTATCACCATCTCTCTAAGGTTACAAATTCAACACACAACAAAATGGCAGGATGCTGATTGCTGATACACCATGTTCATTCCTTGTCATATCTTGAAATGCCTTTTGCCAATCACTTTTTCAGTATTGGTCTTAGTGGCAAAAATAAACCACACACAGAAAAGGGCAACACAACCAAAACCGAATGCTAATTTAACATGTAGATACTGCATTACTGGCAACACTTGTATCAGTACTTACATTCAGTAGGTAGCTCCAATAGTCTCCACTTCATTGAGATATGAGGAATGTGATGTTAAATGAAGAAGAATAAGTGATACTGCTGTCAAGTAGAGTAGTCTAGTTAGTGTAGTCATATAAGGGGGGAACAACCCCTAAAGGGACATAATTACCAACAAAGGGGACAAATCTGCAATGTAAAGGCAACTGCACAAAAAATGGAGATCACGACATTATGTGTGATGGTTCAATTTTGTCCAGTCCTACCTTCTCAAGAACACTTAGAAAGCAAGCAACATATTATTGCACATCAACATTCATAAACCGTAAAAATACTCAGATTCATGAAAATAGTAGGATCTAAGGTAGAGCAAAATAAAGATTACTGGTGTCATAGCAAAAACTGCAAAATTCACAGAGAACAGTGGCTAACCTGGACCTACTTCAAAAGCACATATATGCTTTCTTGAGTTGCTGCTCCCAATCAACTGTCCTCTCCAGAAGTTATAGTACAGGTACTCCAGTTTTTGGTTAATCCACAAGGCAAGCATTACCTGCACATCTATGCACCACATACATTTAATAGATAACCAAAACTACCATTTTGATCTCAATACTCAATAAGAAAAAGAACACAGACCTTGAAATCCCATGAAGAGGTCACACGTAAGGGAACTGACATACATTTTTTTATGGAGTTAGACTCAAAGGACAGTTAGAATAGGGGAAGTCCCCTAATTATGTTTCCACACTATTATTAATCAACCTGCCATATGTGAAGGACCTCTACCGAGTTCTCCACACTCGGAAATCAAACGAAAGGGAAAAAGAAAGCTTAAATGGGTCGATCATGGACGTCAATGCAGATATAGAACCCAAAATAACAAAACTTCTCACAGTAAATCTGGAAGATTGAGAAAGAGAGTCCTAAAATAGAAGTTCCTCCACCGAATGAATCTTTGACAACAACAAAACTAATTAGATCAAAGTGAAACGGAGGGAAAAACTTCAAATGATGTTTCTGGTTCGCTTGCCCGCTCTGACGACTCTAATGTTCAGATCGATTGTCAACTCTAAAACACCGAATCGCTATCCGAAATAGCAAACAAAAGCGATGAATCAGAAAGATAAAACAGGACAGATTACCAGGGGGAGAAGGGGAAAAAAAGATAAGGAAAAGACATATAAAATTACCTTCGCCTATGCCTAGCCACTGTCTCAAGAGGATAGGATTACGATGATGTTGCGGACAGTGTCTTACCTTCCCAAATCCCCATCAGCGAATTCGATTATAAAATCTCCAAGACCAGACGTGCTCTTCTGGAACAGGAAAAGAGGGCATGATCACATTCAAGGAAAATCGGAAAAACAATAACCTAAAAATGAAAATCCAAAAATCGAACCTGCTTCTTCCCCAACCCGACCGTCAATCTCTCAAACCCGACAATCAATCAAAACCTGAAACCCAACTCATATATGATTGGGGGATGGGAGGAAAAAGCCAAGGAATTGCCATTCAGTAACCGCAGGAAAAAAGGGAAAAAATGGCAGGGGAAGGAGAAGGAGGGTGGGGGAGAGAGAGACCTGAGTTCACGACGACGGGAGGAAGGTTTCGCAAAGCATTCATCTAATGGTCCAGCAGCATTTCGCTGAGATTCCACGATCAACTCAGCTCTCAGAAAATCCCATCAACTCAAAGGGCAAGAGAATCAGCATGCTCTGGCTTGAGAATCGCCCACACACCATCTTCGGATTTTGCTTCGTCGGAGAGGGATCCTCACAACCGAGACTTCTTCGTGCGGAACCGTTTGGGCAACAGAAACCAGAGAACATAGTTAAGAATATGCATCTAATCATAACAAATGTGAGAGATGAACCAAGACCATCAATATCGACTTATCACCTTCAAATGTCAGGACAAGCAAATCTGGTTTCCTTCCGTCGCCAATCTCGTTCTCCACAATGGATCCTCTTCAACATGGATTTATAACCCAAACCACAGATCTTCAGATTGGTAGCTTTTCGCTGGAATTGATGACCATCTCCGGGGCTTATGAACTCGGTGCCGGTATCTTCTAATAATGCATAGGTTGAGAGTGATGGAGAACGAATCTGTCTAGAAAAAAAACATAAGAAACCCACCTTGCGGTTCTGTGTATCCTCCGATTTCTCTCGCCCAAACGAATCTGGGATTGTTGTGGCAGATCCTTTCTTCCACCAAAATCAATAAACATATAAGAACCCTTAAACTCCCCAAACATAGAGTCAAATAAACAAAAAAAAAACACTTACCAGACTTTCAGATTTACCGTGTACCTTCTTTTACCCACCTCCTTCCCCCTTCTCGGGTGGATTCTTCTTCCTGCCAAGATTGCCAACGGTGACCCTTCTCCCTTTATTCCACCAAAAGCAATAAACATATCAGAATTCTTAAAATCCCTAAAACATAAAATAAAATAATAACAACGCTTGACACACTTTCATATTCGCCCCAGTAAGTTCTTCTCCCTACCTCCTTCCTCATTCTCGGATGGATTCTTCTTCCTTCCAGCCAACCATCGCCATTGAATTGGTCGTGAGCATCCCTCCTCGTTGGCAGTCTGAATTCCACCAGTGACTTCGTTCCTTGCACCGACCTCATCAGCGAGAATATTTTTGGTGTAGAAAGTCTCAAATTCAGGATCTTCCATTGCATGTATTTCCTGAGAAACTCTAGCATGGTTCGCCTATGTACAAATGATACAATTAGAGTATGAAATTAAATGAAAAGCAAAGGAATTTATTTCTTTAACAATCGAAGTTAACTAAAAGGCAGCACTCACAACGTCAATGTTCAAAATTACAGGCTAAACAATGGCTATAATGGCGCTGAAACTACCGAAGGAAACAATTTGTAAAATTAAATAATACATAAACTGAAACTACTTTCTAACCTGAAATATGACATGAGCAGTTCATATGTCTCCTCTCAGTATGAACTGGTTGCGGCTCGTCCTTATCACTGCCTCCCGCCTTTTACATCAGTCTCCATTCAGAAATCACTGATAAAATACACCTAAATATAAATTAGTGCACAGGGCAGCAACTAAAAATTCCTTATTTTCTAGATAGCATCACAAAATTGAATTCATATCAATAACAGGAGACGGTGAAGCTAACCTAACTTACCATTTAAGAGGAAGGAATAATTAAGATGATCGAGAACATAAACAGGTTATTATATACAAAACCTAGATTCGTGGAAGGGGGCAATACCCGTCAAAGGAAACCCCAAGAAAGACTAAACGAATCACAAAAGAAAGGCAAAATATGGGAAACATAAAGAGAGGAGAAGGTATGGCTAAAAAACACCCAGATTCATGGAAAGAAGGAAAAGTTCTGAGCATACTCGAACAACGATCAAATCAACTGTGAACAAAAGACAAAGGAGAGAGAACATAAATGCATAGGTGGGATCATACCAGTAAGTGACATTGAATAAGAGTCTCGCCGAGGAAGTGGAATGTTAAAACCTGAACCTTCTCATGACGTTATAGAGATATTCTCCGTCGTTAGCGCCACCAAGTGAGCAAGGCCTTATAGTAAAACAATCTGACCCATCTACGACCGGAAAGGCACAACAAATGTATTTTAGCTCAAAAAAATGGCTAAGATAATTGAGCATGCAGCAGGAGGGCAACTCGTATATCTGATAAGGCGCCACTTCATCACTATTAAGAGGGTAACTAATAGAAAATACCAAAAACTTTTAAACCAAGGTACTTTATGAAAAGTACATACATGAACCTAGTTTTGCCAGGCCCTGTTGACTAAGAAGGTTTCTACCCTACATGTTTGGGAAATGACCCGAAACTTTATGCAAAACTTGGGTTTCATTAATGTACCAAAGCAACTCGAAGAAGAGGTTGACAAATCTAGGACATACAGTCAGCAGTCAATTCATGTATATAAATCGACCTTGATTACAATATTTAAATGACCCATACTACCATCCTTAAAACTTCATTGAAGGAGTGATAAGCTGATATCGGTGGAAACTACAAACTCAAAATAAGAGCCATGTATATAACTGACCCCAAAACCTCAGATCAGATAGAAAGAGGCATACAAAGAATCGGGTAATCAGTCCCGTCAACAATTCATCCTTGGCTTGCTTCCCAAAGCGTGACGATCAATTTCACTGAGGCTGCTCATAAAAGAGATGTTTCAGCAGTAGTCATAATTGACACCACACCATAAGCCAGAAAATGGTGTTCAGCTGTTCTTTATGACACCGAGCTATGGTGTGAACATGAAGGCAAATTTTTAAAAAAATATATAGTTCCAATTAGGAAACAAACTTATAGGAAGCTAAAAATATGAGGGCTTCAGAATTGCAAAGAAGAACAAACTAAAAGCAATCTAAACTACATTGATGCATATTGCTTGATTTGGAATCTCACATAAAGCTGTAATATTAATCTGTATATATAATCCAATCAATTGGAAACAAACAAAGCAAACAAGCTCCAAGACTCCCAAGCATTAATTTGTATTTTGTGGTTTCCTCACTGAAAGTAATCAAACAAACAGAGACTAAAGAAGTAAGGGGCTTCTCAACTGCGGTGACTTAAGGCGCCGCTGCGTTCTTCTTCTTCGTTAAAGTTCTAAAGAGAGAGTAGAGTTATCCCTGAACTTCCCAAAGAGTCGGTCACAGTTCGTCACTATCATTGCCCCTCGAGCCAACAGAATAAAACCTATAACTCTGCAGCCAGCTGGACCAGCAGTTTAGCAAAAGAGAGAAATATCAATTAGACTTCCGAATTGATTACCAAAGCCACAGTGCAACCCCAACTAAAGTTAGAACCAGGGGATATTTGAGGTCAATCTCCAAGATAGTTGTTTTACATTGGTTTGGGTTCTTCGCAGCACCACATGTGTTATTGTCCATCAAGCACTGTTGACCAAGCTTCTGTTTGTAAAATTGTAAGTAAAAAAAATAGGATTTTGTCAACAAAGTAGCATGCATCTGCCCGCTAATTGAAACATAAATCTAAAGAAGAGGCTTCATACATTTAACATAGTGGGTTAGCTAACTATTGAGTGCATTCAGAAGAAGCGAGA